GAAGACCACACTTTTCTCGGGCCATTATCTCCGTAACCGTTCAACTTTGGACATAGGTGTTTTGGGTTATATCGGCATACTTTAACATAAGGAACACCCTCCCGAAGTTTGGTCCATTCCTCCTGGGACATCCTGTATATGCAGAAATGGCCTAGGCAATGCTCATCCGGCCCTTTGTAGCACATCCATATAAACATCTTATTCTATCATAGCGATCTTAGCGGTCAACTCACGAGGCCGCTGTGATTTTTTAATGTCAAAAATAGTTGTAAATACTAAAGAGGCCTAGACATTTTTTTAATCGTAGGAAAAAATATTGTAAATATAAAAATGGCCTAGGCAATGCCCATCCAGCCTTCTGTAGCACATTCTAATAGACATCTTATTCTATAATAGCGGTAACCCCGCGATTGTTAATATAGATCTTGACTTAAATCTGAGAGTATACTGTAAATAATCATTACAATTACTTCTTTTACTCTTCTTACATATCTATTTTATATAAATATAGGAATGTTGTTTACGAAGTAACAGACTCCTTGCACAAATCTTCTTTCTTCTAGCCTGAAGAGCTCTGTAATTGATTTTGGGTAATGCTTTTTGCTGTTCTCAGACAAGATGTCCATCATTGTTGCCCTTTTGTCCTCGTACTGTTTACAGTCCCAGAAGATATGTTCCTCCGTTTGCGGCTCATCACCACATTCGCATTCGGCCGTGGATATAATGTTAAATCTGGCGCTCTCATACGGTTTATTGACACGAAGGCGTGGCGGTTCGTTTTCATCTGTTGGAACCATGGTGAAGAGCCTTTCCTGTAGTACCTTTCAACGTAGCTTTCTCCTCTATCTCGTTTGGTGTTTTGACAAAAACTGTGAAGTTCTTCTTTGTCTTTCTTTTTCCACTGGGTTTTAAGATCTGCTACTGGTAATAGTAATTGACTATCCCTGCCTTCTTTGATTGCTTATTATAGAGGAGTTACTAATGCCATGTAACACGCTGGCCGAGTCCGAGAAAATCATGAAGTTTTGCTACGAGTGTATTTTTTCAGTGATTTCTAGTGTTTCGGCAATTGCTAATGCTTCCACCGTGAATGTGGACTCTATCGTAGATATCCTGAATTTCATGCTACGACCATCTTTTATATCTATCGATGCGAATCCTACGAATGGGTTGTCCTCCATTTTTGAGCCGTCCGTGGCGAAACATTTGCTGGTTCTCATTCTTTCTTGGAAAATCTTTTTGAATTCCCTGTTGTGATCTTCTGTTTCCTTTCTTTTATCTTCCCTCATCGAAAGATACCCTGGCCTCGTAGAGGAGGTTTCCGTATGTGTAGTCGAAATCCGGGGGACAGTTGCCTGATTGGATTAAATGACCGAGAGGGGATACCTCTTTGTAATATTCGCTGATGAGTGGTTGTTCATTTTCTCCTCTCCCTGGATTGTCAAGTAGAGCTGACAGTTCTTCCAGCAACTGGATCATTGGATGATTGCTTGACATATACCACCTGGACACATACAGGCCTAGGCAATGCCCCTCCGGCATTATTGCTGCCATCTCTATGCTGATGCAACAAATATGATACGATGGGTGTATCATGATTGTTTTCAAACTTACATTTGCGTAAAGATGACAGTAGAAGTACGTGCAGATGACGACTGTGTTACTTCATAAATAAAATCCCTAAATTTATAAAAAAAAAAAAAGACTGCGCATGTTTCCAGTTTTGCTATACCATTGCCACCCCCTGGTATATATCAAGGCAAATGGCGCTGGTTTCCCTTTTGTCTATCGTATTTATCAGGGGGTGAAGGTACAGTCAGCATTGGGATGAGATGAGAATAGTCCTGATGGTCCTGAATTATTTTTTTTTCCTTTGGCACTACAGCCCCAGTGGGCCTAGGCCTACCTCCATGAACTTCTCCTTTCTAGATCTTACACATTCGGTAGGACTAATTGGGCTGGTGATCAGCTCGTCGCAAGGCCTTTACCTGTACACAAACACAGAAAAACGCACACAAATATCCATGCCCTGAGTGGGATTCGAACCCACGATCCCGGCTTCCGAGCGCACGAAGACAGTGACCGGCCCTGAATGATTAGACAGGGGAATATGTTGCAGCACCAGAAACACGGATCAAAACTATGACTAAGAGCCAAATTATCTTAATATAAAGCAATATTTATGGAAATATATGTCATAATTTTTGTGACATATCCTACACAAAACACAAATGGATGAATAAATAATAAATTAATAATAACGCAGTTGCATTAAGTCCGTAAGTAAACTTTAACTGTACTCCTCTCTCACTTCTTTCTGCACTCATTTAAATTATCTTCTTTCTTGTACTAAATTTCTCTCAGGGTTAATTGGTTTGTGAAGAGGTGAGGTTGTAGGTTCGGTAGAGCTGGGTTCCTCTTATCTCAGAGCCTTGATCGGGCCACAACTCCAAGAAGCAAGAATTAAACACAACTACAAAGCACTTATCAAGTTGAGATGTATTATTATTATTATTATTATTAATTACTTGTTTATTCACTGCTTAACAATGTACAACTGACTACCATCAGTATACTTTACTTCTTGTTTCTACAAGATTCACACCACTTTTTAACCCAGATCCAGCGTGTAACTTTTAAATCTGAATTCCTCAAAGGCCGGAGTGTGAAACTTTACTTCTGATTCCTACGAGTCCCGGTGTGTCTGACTTCGATAACTGATTTCTCTTCGAACCATCAAGTCCTTGTTTCCACCAGCGTCTCTGCTCTGTCACACCTTTAAATTTTAGTGATTGGTCAATTTAAAATATAGGAGTATCTTAATTATCTATTCCTCCAATCCTTTTACTCATTACAAGGGATTTTGGCATTCTGAGTTCCAACGAACTTCTGTCAGAATTTTGACAAATGTGAAGCGTGGCTCGGGATATAGAAGTTTCACTCTTTTAAATTATGGCATGCACAAGATGCCAAGTATTGAATTCACAGAGGATTCTTTAGTTATTCTTTCACGTAATTTTTCTAAGAAACCCTCGACGGGGTGTCTTCCTGTTTCTGCTTTAAGCGTGGGAAGACGCTAACTCTTACATACAAGAATGGACCTATGGCGAACTACACTTGTTCATTTCAACTCATTGTGAACAATTAAGATTTTAAATTACTAAAATTAATTACCTTTAAATAGGTTGCATAGAAGTGAAACGGTTACAAAACGCACATGCAAAAAATTCCATGCCTTATGAATTCTGTCCACGGATAGCTGTTTTGTATTTGGTCCTGACTATAGGCAACACCCCCGACCGCAATCCGTGTCTGACGGTGAGATCGGTCAGATCATTGTCTGATCCACGGATGTATAACAGCAGCTGTTTACTGTTTTAAACGTTCATCGATCAGATGGCGCTGTTAATAATTCTCGCAAATATCGTCTCGCAAGGATTATATCCAAGGATATCCATGGTAAAGGAAACAAATAACAATTAGGTGGAACTGGTAGGGAAAAATACGAAGCGCGAGGATAAGAATGTTGATGAACATAAACATGTTACTATGTTCTTCCTATTTGTGGGAGTCGCCGACTTACTTGTATAGTCGGGATACAGTTAAATTGCCTACATATACTAAATATAGTTTCTATTATTTGTGTTAAAGACTTTGACAACAATTTTGAAAATATTCACCACTTCCATGATGATGGCTAGAACTGTAGTACACGGATAAGAAATGGCAAAGAAAAGTGTTGAAGTGCAAGTATCTGATAGTGATTTTGCAGTTTATCTTCGGGAATCAGTTACATATGAGATTAAAATGGAATCACGTTCCAAGAGTAGGTTGCGTGGCGTTGTTTTGATGTGTGTTTTGTTAGCAGTGAGTGGGATTGTCTACTTTGGATACTTTTGCCCAGAACAAGTTTGTGCACTTACTTCTCGAGACACGAGTTGGTCGGACTGGACGTTTCGATTTCCAATTCAAGATAACTTGGGAAAACCTTTACCTCTTCATTCCAGCCCATTCACCTCCAAAATTTCAAGTCCTGGCCTAAGCTATGATGATGTTTTGAATGAGAACTTCCAATTTGATATGAATGCTCACGATGTTATGGTTTTCCTACACATTCAAAAGACTGGTGGAACTTCCTTTGGTAGACATTTAGTCCGAGACTTGGACTTAGAGAGACCATGTTCTTGTCAAAGGAAAAGAAAACGTTGCTATTGTTTCAGGCCAAATCGTAATGAGATTTGGTTATTTAGTCGTTACTCAACAGGCTGGAAATGTGGACTTCATGCTGACTGGACAGAGTTGACTAGCTGTGTTGATTCTGAACTTGACAAAAATGAAGGTGATAGCATCAAACGAAGGTGAGAATAAATATAATTCTCAGTATTTTTTTTAATTACACTAGAATTTCAGTAAGTTACAAGATGTGAATATCATCAAGTAAACAAGCAGTTAATTGTGTACGTATTTGACTTTTATTGAGTCTTCCTGTGTCATAACTTATATGCCATTAGAGTATGACGGGTCATGTTCTTTTTCTCATCACCCATTATACTGATACAGTTACACCATTTACTGACATGTTTGCAGTTATATATTTTTAGCAGACTCTGATGAACAGATGGAGTTCCATGTGCAACCTTCTGCACATACCCTCCCAATATCAGTTCAGCTGCCAGCATCGGTACTTGTGCCATGTTCTTACCACACTCTGTATTACCCAGCTCCAATGGAATGATGTAACAGGTTTCTCATATTCAGACATACATCTGCATTTCTGCAATAAATCTTTGGGGGACAGGTTAAGTTAGTTTCACTTGAATACATGACATTATGTTGGGTCTGGTTTGTATAAATTAATGACAAATTTTGTATTTAAAAACCTGAAGCACATGAGTTAATGTGGGTGTGTACTAAAGAGGCAGAAGTACATGGGCACCATATTATATAGTTGGTCTAAGCTGGGATACTAACTTCAAATGGGCCACAACTGCTTCCAATTGAAGGTTCATGAAATTATATCTGCTGTTGATAAGTGCTTGCACAATCCCCCTTTTCCCCATTTTGTCTTCAAAATGTTAGTTTCATAACTCGAGGCAGTAGACACACACACACACACACACACAGGATGAAACTGAAAAGTGCACACAAACTTTGGGCACAAGTTTCATATACCAGAACAAGAAAAAATGTTCATATTAACATGTGACCAGAAACATTTAGTTTGAGAGTTATAGCTGAAAGAGTATGTTTATAATAAGTTCTCAGAATGTCCTCCATGAGATTTAATTAACGCATCAATACATCGACAACTGCATCAGTTCAATGATGCTGGGGTAGTTGTGGATAGCCTGACAGGCATCAACAATGCAGTGGTGAAGTGCCTCTTCATTGTCAATAGGAGCTGCCCACATGAGGGTTTTTAGGTGTCCCCACATGCAAGCATGGAGGCCACTGAGTGGGTCCTCCACTGTCTTTCCACTGATCACTCTAGGTGTTATTATGAACATCTCGCACTGCTGGCTCTCATGCTCTGAGTGCCAGTGGTACATCTTCCAGTAGCTTTGGCAGATGACAAGAGGAAACCATAGTAATGGTTGACAATAAGTTGTTGTGGCAAAACATGCAGGCCTACCAAACAGTTCCTGCCTACACATTATTGCTGAACTGATTCTGCTGTCTAAATTGGATTATGCCATGATTCTCCTACTGGTGTTGGTTGTGATTATTGATGATGCTGTCTCTACTGAAATGTACCTCATCTGTAAAGAGCACTGATGAAACAAAGAAATGCTCAGCACTTCATTGAACAAAATGATATCCTTTCGGCTATAGCTCACAAATTAAATGTTACCAGGCATATGGTGTTATGGACATTTTTTCTTGTTTTGGTATGTGAAATTTGTGCCCAGAGTTCGTCCGAACCTTTCGGTTACACCCTATGTGCATGTGGATATAAAGGGTATTTCATATAGTGTGTGGGGGTACACGGTAGTGTAGTTGGTTGAAGCACTATGCTACAAGCTGGAAGGTCACAGGTTCGATTCCTGATGAGGTAATTTAATTTTTGCAATTTACCTGATCCTTCCAGCCACAATATGGTCCTGGGGTTGACTCAGCCTGTAACAGAAATGAGTACCAGGAAGATTCCTGGGGTGTAAAGGGCAGCCGGGATGTAAGGCTGACAACCTTACCACCATCTGTGAGTTGTGTGTATAGAAGATGTGGGAGCCTCAACCTCTCACGCCCCTGTGGACCTTCACAGCCTGTTACAGCTTTACATTTTTTACCATATAGTGTGCAGTTAGCACTAGTTGACATGTTTCTTTTATTATGTACATTCTAATTTAATGATTATTGGTTATCAGATATTTCTATATAACATTGTTGCGAGAACCCATCAGTCGCTACCTGTCAGAGTTTCGACATGTTCAGCGAGGTGCAACTTGGCGAAATTCTCGACACTGGTGTGGTGGTCATGCTGCTACACCTCAGGAACTGCCTCGTTGCTATAAAGGCTCATCCTGGGAGGGTGTTACACTTGATGAATTTGCAGCTTGCCGTCATAATCTTGCAGCAAACAGGTATTTCACTGGCTGCTTCTCAATGACATGGCCTACTGTGTGGATGAAATATCCTGTATTATTATTACTTTTTATGCCTATTATCTGCTGTAATATATGGATATGAAACTTGGGCTCTAGGTGTAAGGGAGAACATAAGTTGAGGGTGCTCATGATCATAATTCTAAGGGAAATACCTAGAGCTATGAGAAAGGATGTAACAAGTGGAGAAAATTACACAACAGGACTTCGATAATTTGTACTCTTCATGAAATATTATTAAAGGTAAAAGATCAAGGATAGGAAGAGCAGGATATGTAGTATGAATGGAAAAGATGTATGTGACATTTTAGTCAGAAAACCTGAAGAAAAAAACACTTGGGAGACCTAGGCATAGATGGAAAGATAATTTTAAAATTAATCATATAAGAACAGGACGTGACTGTGCGGACTGGATTCAACTGGCTTGGTATATGATGCAGTTACATGCTCTTTTGAACAGAGTAGTGAACCTTACTTACTTACTTTACTTTACTTACTCATGGAGCTGAGCCCTTCTTGAGGAGCCGCCAATTCTGCAGCTACTCTAGAATTTCCCAACATTTTATGGAACCCAAAGGTTCATCACCGTGTTCACAAGAGCCCTCCACTGGTCCCTATCCTGAGCCAGATCTATCCAATCCATACCATCCCATCCTGTCTCTCTAAGATCCGTTCTAATATTGTCCACCCACCTACGTCTTGGTCTTCCCTGTGGTCTCCTTCCTTCTGGCTTTCCCACCAATATCCTATACGCATTCCTCGTCTCCCCCATTCGTGCTACATGACCTGCCCACCTCATCCTCCTTGACTTGATCACTCTAATTATACTTGGAGAAGAGTACAAGTTATGAAGCTCCTCATTATGCAGTTTTCTCCAACCTCCTGTCACTTCATCTCTCTTCGGTCCAAATATTCTCCTCAACACCCTGTTCTCAAACACCCTCAGTCTATGTTCCTCCCTTAACGTCAGAGACCAAGTTTCACACCCATACAGAACCACAGGCAAAATTATAGTTTTGTATATTCTCATTTTTATGTTTTTGGACAATAGACGAGAAGACAAAAGGTTCTGGACTGAATGGTAGCAAGCATTACCCGAGTTCAATCGCCTCTTAATTTCCTCCTGAATCAGGTTTCGATCTGTTATCGTTGTTCCCAAATATCTGAACTGTGCCACATTTTCAAAACATCTGTTTCCTATCTTTATGTCATGATTTTGCCCTGCATTTTGGTGACGAGACAGTAACATATACTTAGTTTTCTCTGTGTTTACTTCTAGACCAACCTCTTTACTTGCGTCAATTAAAGTTTGTGTGTTTTTCTTTATGGGATCTACATTATCACCCAGTAGATTCACATCATCGGCACAGACCAACGGCTGATGTGTCCCGCTTAATTTCAGTCCCACCTGGTTTCCCTGGACCTTCCTAATGGCATTCTTTAAAGCAAAGTTGAAAAGGAGTGGCGATAAAGCATCTCCTAGTCTTAGACCATTCTGGATAGGAAATTTATC